ATGTTTGTGTTTTTGCTCGAGTTAATTTGCAAAATTTCAGATCATTGGAATGGAACGACAAGTTGAGAAAAATGAGGGTTTCCCACTTTTTTGTTTTTAATCCAGGTTCTAAAGCCTCGAAATCTGCTCGTGACATTTGCGCTGTGTATGCAGAGGGTGTCATAGCTGAAAGAATAAAAAGTATGGCCCGTATACCAAGTTTAAAAACGTAAATTTGGACTTAAAAGACGCACGTCGCTCTGGCCGCCCAGTTAAGTACGATGGAAAGCGATAAAACCGATTCGTGCTCGAAATTCGGTTCAAGCGACAAGAGAGCTGGTAAAAATAAAAAATTACAAATGCGATTTTCTGGCGAGACAAAATTCTTGACTTTCGATTTCTTCTTAAATTGAGCGTGAAAACAACAGAGAAGATTTTAAAAGATTGATAACCAACTGATAAATGAGTAAAGGTGAACTTTCAACAGACATTATTGTGAAATTAGAATGGATATATCAAGTTCACCTTGATAATAAATAAAACTCGACACCATTAATCGGATGACTCACTTTCTCAGTCAAAACTTTTTTCACGTGCAAGTTTTTTTTTTTTTTTTTTTTTTAAATATCATCAGGCTATCGACACGAATACTCCAGATGAGAAATAAGTAAAATTATCTATAACCTTGAGTCTAGGATTAAGAGATATTTATATTTGAGGTTCTATTCTTAAATTGGTTATCAGCCGATTACATGCTAAGTCCAAAATTGCAAAATACTACTTAAATTACATAAATTAGTAATTAAAACTAATACTGTGGCGTTTTTTATTTACCCCCGATTTTTCGTTTTTTATACTCCCGAAATAATTCTACTACTTAAATAATCCTAAGAACCGAAAACAGTAAAATATTATCAGAACAAGGAAAATGACAGTAGTCGAATGGGGCAAATCCGAGTAAAATGCATTGTCACGCGCTATGGAGAGGTAGTGAGTTCTCATTAGTTCTTTATACCTCTCCATAGAACGTGACGCCCTGATTTGCCCCTCTCGGTTACTGCGATTTTCTAGTTTTACCACCTTTATTTTTCCACTTTTCGTTTTATATTTCAACTCAGCAGTGCTGGCCCAGAGGATAGAGCGTAGATATCCAATGAGGTGAACTGGGTTCGAATCCCAGCAATGGCTGGTTGATACGAATTCCGCACCTGGCTCGCACCAACACCAATCACAAAATAGTCTTAATAGACATGACGAAACAGCATTTAGAAAGTATGTCTTTAGTCAGCTCTCTCTTGACTTAGAATTATGGAACAGAATTTTTAATTTCAAGATTGCACTTACTGAGCTACCCCAAACTACATAATACAGCCTACTGTATCAGTGTTAGGTTTTGCCCAATTTCACAAATTAATAATCAGCACAGACCATACAAAGTGTTTATTCTTAGTAAAATGTTAAAGTTGTGATGGAGTACATCAATTGCAATCAATTTTGTCTCATCATAGGTTTGTGTAGGGTTGATTATGTTACTTATTGAGTTTTTAAGACTTAATAATTATGTAATCTAAATCTATGTAGTTCTAATTATGTTATCTGAATCTATGTTATCTGAATCTATGTTATCTAATAATAATGTTATCTAAATTTAAATAGTTTAAAATGAAGTTCTACTGGCAAATTCACATGTTGCCATTAAATCCATCAGCTCTATTCAAGCTCCATTATCAAATGAAATTTCTCAATGCAGTTTTGTAATAAATCCATTGCAATTTATATGGTAATAAGTAGGCAGACTTTCTTGCCAAAGAGGGCGATACTCTGACACACTGCACATAACTAGAAACCTCTTTTCTCACCTCTAAGCTAATTAGTAAACAAATTTTGCAGTCGACACTTAACTAAAACAGAAACCAAATATGAAAAAATAATTGTCTTTTCGATATACCAGATAAACCTAGGTGGAAAGCAGTCTTTTCCTCTATTTACCACACACGATAGCCTTGCTGCCCATCTGCATTGCATTGGAATTTCAACAGAGGCTGCCAGCGTGATAAAAGAAACAAGTCCATGGACAAATATCACTTGCATACCTGTCACCAGTTGCGCTCTACATAAAGATACGAATCATCGAGAGGACTCTCGAGGCAACAACCTTCGGTTATCTCACAAACTTTTCGAAGATTGCGTTGATATCTTAGCTTTTAAGCTTTTCTTACTACTATTCTTGTTCAAGGCCGCAGCCATTGGAAATAAAAAAGTTATGTTACCTACAAACTTATTACCTAACAAGGACAAGATGTGTTAAACATAATTTATCAGCATTCCAAGATATAACCGAATATGGAATGCATCACAGATTTTAACAATAATGGAAAATTGGAAGAAAATAGTTGAATTTATAGAATATCAAAATTTGTTAAAATTATTTTAGAAAATCAACTTTTAGGACTATTTATATGTTGTGTAAATAAGCAACTCACAGGCACCTTATCATGCTAGTCTTGTAAGTAAGTGGACAAACCACCACCTTTCATTTTGCCTTTACTATATTTTTAAGAAGAAATCTAAATTTAAGAATTTTAAGATTTAATTACATAAAATATAAATATGATAAAGACAAGACATCACAAAGAACTGAATTGAATAAAAGGAAAGATATTTTGACATAATCATTTCTTATTCCTTACATCATGTTGCACTTCTTGGTTCGAGAGATTGTGAGTTTCCCGCATTAAATTTTATGGTTTTGATAGCATACTTGCAGAAAACATTACATAATATTTTGAGGTCAGATTATTTGTTTACTATAACTAATTTTGGTCAATTTGCCTCAAAAAAGAGCACACGATTACCAAACTTATAAAGCCCAATAGTATAAATGCGAAAATAATTCTAATAATGGAATACTAGGCCATAACCAAATCCTATTCCTTAATGTTATAATAGTTCTCTATCATAAAGCATTACTGAAGTATAGTGGCTTACTCACAGATGTGAGACATTACCTGGTCATTGTCAAACCTTTGACACAGATGCAGGCATGAGAATCACGCCTTACATATATTGGAATTTTTTGCAAAAAAGTTAATTAAAATATTTACTTCCGAGACTTAAATGAGAGAAAAATAAAATTTTTATCTAACTCTGATGTTTCATTATTGGAGGCATTCAGAGCAAAAAAAGAATTAAAACAATGAAAATGATGTTTGCCACACATGAGTCTAAAATTAATCCACATGTCATCAAGATATGCGTATTGTGTGCGTGAATGCTGTATGCAGAAAATTTGCCATCATCTCAGAAACTTCTCTAATATTACCTACTCAATATTATACAATATAAGCTCTGATTATCACAATATACTGAATTCTAGTGTCAGCTCAAAAAATATATGACGTTTTTTGATTATACATTGTATATGTATACAATATATAATATTATAAAAAAAAGATAAAATTGATAGCAGAAAGTTTTAAAATTTAGATTATTGGTTTGCAGAAAGCTTTTCATTTTATCTAAGTCTTCATGTCATCAATAACTACTTTTCAGCTTACCTTAGAAATCAACTTAAGAATCACTAAGTTCAAAACAGAAACAAAAAACACATTTTTATAAAGGAGTAGGTAGATAATCATAGATCATGTTAGCAAACCTTCATAATTTTGGCGTAGATCACAATACGGAAATATTCCCAAACATTAAAATGATCAGCAAAAAATGGAAATATTTACAGCTTTGCAATTATTATCTATGCATAAAATTATAGATAGAGAAGCTACATTATTTGCATCAAAATTAACAAAACATATTGCTTATATAGGGGAGATTTCCGTATTGCGATCTGTGGCTAAATAATTGCAGTCTTGGCAACTTCTGGGCAGCAGCCCGTGAGAAGCTAAAAAAAAGTAATCACAGAAAGGGACCAACTCTAAAGGTATAACTCGCAGTTACCCCATTTCTACAACATCAACATATTCTTTTGTAAAAAAAATTTTGAAGCTTAAAATCTATTTGGCACTTTGGCGTTTGTAGTTAGTACGACAGATCATGACACGGAAATATTCCCCTTATATAATCGTTAATATTGTGAAAATAATAATTGTATGAGGAAAATATATCAACTCAAACATGAAAATAGTACAACATGGAAATCAATATTTAACAATTTTATATTATTAAGATCAGCAAATAATTTTTAAATATACCACATGCATATTTCTTACTAAGTTTCCATTAAGTGAAATTAACTTGTTACTTATTTAGAAGACTAAAGTTTATTGGAAAATTTTTTTAAAAATTGGAAGAAAAAAAGAAACAAATATGAAGTTTTTCATAAGGTCTTGAGATAGCAAATTGAACTCTTAATACACTGAAAACTAAACTATAAAAGCATATTATCTATCTTCCTCAAATTTAAAGTTTACGAAGGCCACTTGAAATATTTAACCAGTATACAAAAAAAAATCGTTAACAATTAAATGTCGCATAAATAATGCCTTTAGTTGATTAAACAAAATTTTTAATTATAGAATAACTATTATTCCTCAATTGAAAAATAAAATGATAATGTTTTAACTGCGGGCTATTAATTTATTGAAAAAACATCGTGAAAAAACAGTTTTATAATACTATTTGCAGTACTTATGTATTGAAAAATTATTGCAATAAGTTAAAAGGATTTTAGTTATAAATTCCTTGTTTAAAAAAAAGGGCCTTTTTTACTACATTAAATACATTTAACTAGCAATAATTAAGATGAAAACTTTTCAGTTAAAGGCAATTGATAATTACACACAGACAAAAAGCATTGCAAGAAGTATATTTTGTATTATTTTCCTTTATTATTATTTTTATTTATTCTTTTTTGCAACTACAGATAGTGCAAGAAGAATGTAAGCGGTGAATAAGTTAATAGAATTTCAGTTATAAATTCATTAGGTTAAAATAAAAATAGCCTTTCTTTTGACATTCATTGATAACATTTGACTAGTAATAGCAATATTAAATAATAATCTTACCGGCTAATATTCCTTTCAAAGTTTTTTGATCAGGCAAAAAATTACTTGCTGATAACGCTGCACCCGACGTAATCATGCTGGGTCTTTGAAAAGGATTTTGAAATTTCGTATTCCTATCCATTTTGATATCTAGAAAAAAAATACACTATCCTAATTATTTTCAACTAATAACCACTGTAATTATCTCCAGAACTCAACATCCATGAAAAATTGAATAAAAGTTATAAAAGGAAGTTAGCTCCAGAAAGGTGATGAAAAATTAATTAGGTCAGGATTTCAGACGAGGAAAACTAATATTTCTCTTGCGAAATATCCCTATTTTTTACTCAAACCTTGGCAAAAAGTAATGTTTACGCGAGTGCTAGCTCCGTAATCGGAAATAATTTATTTCCCCTACTCATTTCCCTATTATTAATATCATTTCTCTGACTTTCCCCTATTTCAGTTGAAAAAAGTATAAACAAAATATTAATTGAGTAACGTGATTGGGTAAAGGAAATAAGTTGAAATGTCATTGGTGGAAATATACACACCTTTTTATCCCTACAATGATTTTTAATAGAAAGATTAGATGTACTTGACTGTGGTAGCCGAGATAATAATCAAAGCAAAACACAGATGGCGAAAGTATCGGCGATCGAGATGGACTACAGGTAGCGTAAGGCAGAACTCTCTACCCATGGCAACATTTCACATGCTTTCACCATTACCAGGTGGAGAAGGAAATATGTTAGATTCTGTCTTGATTTTCAAATCATTGAAAAACTTTTAAAATAGGAAACTGAAAACTACATTGAACATAGTTCTATAGAATTTTTATGGTAATTTTAAAAGTGTTTTGGACAAGTAAATGCGAAAAATATTACGAAAGGGGAAATTATTGTTGTACAGTACGCAAAATGGATGGTGTTTTCTACAATAGGGAACGCTGCAAGCTCTATGCCGCCTATACTTCCGGGTTACAGTTTCTGGTGTATTTTAAAGTTATTTGGCTCACAACATGATCATTGTGTTTTGAGATTCTTGCAAACGTGGTATTTGATTACTTATTAATTGTGTTTACAATGCTAACAATACTTGTGCTTACAATGCTAAAGGAGCTAACACTAACGTAAGATGGTGCACAACTTGCAACAAGAACAAACAGTAATAATGTAATAAACAAATGGGAAAAGGTCAAACCGGGATAGCCGACAAAGCGAGTTATTCAAAATTTAGCAATCATGTCACCTTTTTTAACAATATATCTATAAATAACAAAAGCAAATTTTCACTTCAAACTCACCAGAATTACTTAATAATATTAATATCTCATGAAATATGGCATATTTGAGCTCAGAAATTATCTAATTTGCTTCTTTTATTGAAAGCAAAATTATCCGTTTGAAAATATCGTCTCGCAGAATAAGTTGTAGTAAGCAGTTGCAAACTTTTTAACCGGAACTAGAGCAGGTATTGAGCTCGAGATTGTTATTATTTATATTTTTATTGAAAACACCATCCACAAAAAAGCTACCATCCTGAATAACTTTCATTCTAATGATAGGATTTTTACGTATTAAGAGTGATAGTAATGGTTTCTGAGGGTGACCTCAAATATGCCAATTATTTACTCCTAATTATTAATTAAGTTACAAAATCAGACACAAAAACGTACTTTCTCTAAATAAACATTTTTTCTTCACATATTTACATTCCTGGCCCTCAAAATTTAGGGGGTAGACGAAATTTCGAAAAAAATTGGATCATATATTTGCTTACTATGAAGCTATATATTACTTGGTGTTATCCCCCCAAAAATAGCCAAATAACATCGTCGTGGCAGGAGGCACAGTTTAAAATAACCTCATCGAACTATTCGATCGATAAGAGTGTGTAAGATGATTTATAACTAGTGTTTCTCCGTTTCTAAGCAACCAAGTTGACACTATGAAAATAATGAAATTAAAGTTTAATCTTTTTCACTCAATGTATAGCTTTCTATTTATTGTTTTCATTGTCTTTTTTCTTCACTCTATCTCGGGAAAGCCTATTTTTTAATAGTTGATGAAGAGCAGACAATTTTGGGGGAGGGGCTGATTTCTGACCGAAACGAAAAGATTGTTTTTTTTTTTTATCTCCTTTGAAAATAGAATGTTAATGGATTGATAAATTATTTATGACTTTCCAAGATTTCAGAATTTGAACACAAGAACTTCTCATATGACGTAATTTGTGTCTTTTTTAAAGTTGTTTTTAACTCTTTGAAGTATGACTATTTTTCACTAAAGCCAAATTCCCAAAACTCATTTTAATTCTTTTAATTATATACAGAGTTGCAGAGCAACTCCTCTTTACACCTTTGATCGAGTCTTCTATGCACAGAGGTTTTGAGACAAAAAAAAGGGGGTTCTTAAAAAAATGCTGAGTATCTGGGGGAGATGTATATTATACACATTCACGAAGTCTTAGATAATTTATGATATTTCTTTTTAATATAATTAAAAAATTAGTGAATGCTAATTGGTATTTTAAAAACATTTATATATGTGTGTTTAAGAGTATTGCATGCTAAAGAAATTGCCTCATTCTGCCTTATATTTGAGCTACATGGTTTTCTTTGGATAAAGATAATTTGCTTATAGCATCATGATTCTATACATTCTAAGCGTATTTTCTCAAATTCATAAAATATCACTCAACATATTCTTCAATTTCGATCAGCTACAAGTATCATTCATCACATGATTCAATGATCAATTTCAATAACGCCAAATATCTGGTAACAAAATAGTAAGTTTTGAAATTTTAATTTTATAGTTAAAGATAACTTCATAGTTACAATATTGATGCCACAGTTTCCTTAATGCTCTAAGGACCGCATGAACCCTGTTAAAATACAAATGTTTACTTTTAGGAGCATAAGATTCTGATTAAAATAATGATCTGGATCCAAATGTAAGGTATTCTCTAGGCTCGATCACCAACACCAGACATGAATAACTTCGTGACGTGAATTTTTAAGAACTGGCAACATTGTATATTAAATTAAAGTTAACAATTCTAAGTTTTTTATAAATTACGAACTTGACAATAGTTTAAAAACGAGTGTAATAAAACGAGTTAATTTAAATAATAGCATAAAGTAAAATACTAAAAATACATATACGAGGGTTGCTACTTATATTTCTGGCCTAATAATGAAAAAACAAATATGTAGGATCGAAATTTGTTTTATTGTTTTTCAAAATATTCTCCATGATCAATACACTTTTGCATGCGTTTGAACCAATTTTCAAAGCACTTTTTCCAGTCCGATTAAGGTAACTCCAAAACATGCGTTTTGAATGCATCAACCGCTTCTTCGGGGGTCGAAAATCGTTGTCCACGTAAATTATTTTTGATGTGTGGGAATAAGTTGAAGTCATTGGGTGCCAAATCAGGGCTGTACGGCGGATGTCCCATGAGTTCGATCTTTCTCTCCGTCAGAAATGCCTTTGTTTGAGTCGATGTGTGAGAGCTCGCATTGTCATGATGAAGAATGATTCGCCTGTTCATCTGCTTTTTTTCGAATTTCTCCGATGACTTCTGGCAAACAAATGGTCGTGTACCATTCAGAATTGACCGTCCTGCGTTGCTCTAACGCCACTGTTGCCACATGACCGTTAATGCCGAAGAAACAGGCAATCATTTGTTTCGATGTGCTTCTTCCTCGAACAACTTTTGTTGGTTTTGCCTCGTCTT